ATACGGGAAACCTTATGGATTTGCCACTAACCACTAACTTCAATAGTGGTTTAGCTGAATGAACAAAGAATATATTTGTTACATCCGCTGACAACCAGAAGCTGTAAAAAGTTGCAGGCACTTTGGGGCCAAGAGAAAATCCAAAATAGTCTGAACAAAATGGTGATACATTTTGAGAAAATGCAATGAAATTCAGTACAAAGGACAAAATCCAATACTTAAAAATAACACATAAGCCCTAGACAGTGAAGTGGCTGGGCAGCAGCTTTGCAGTGGAGGTTCTGGAGTTTAAGGGGGATTTGGACCTGAACATGAATCTGTAATGCCAAACTGCAGAGAAAAAAGCGACTGTAACGAGACATGCAAACAGTTTTCCTGTTTAGCTGGTAGTGCTAAAAAAGCAGCTTCATTTGAAACATCGAATACATTGTCGGCAGTACACTTCAAGAAATTGTGGACAACCAGAACAAGGCAGAGTAAAGCAAATAAATGATGATATGCCAGAAAATATAAACCATAAAGGAAAACTAGAAGAATAAGAGGAGACAGGAGAAGATAATAAAATTCAAACATAATAAAAAGCTGCTGCAAAGGGGAACATCATAAACTGATTTCCATGGCTGCTGGGAACAGGATAGGAAATAGTGAGCTTAAATTGTTGCAAGAATGTTTTTCTTAGAGATTATGAAAAATTTTCTACTGCTAAGAAGAATGAAGCATTGGAACAGATTGTTTAGGGAGATTGTGCAGTGTCTACCATGGGAGCTTTTAAAGAGTTGATCCAATAAACATGCCAGAATTGGCTCAGGTACAGCTGTACCTTGAGTCAAGGATGGACTACATAACTTCTCAAGGACCCATCTAGTCCAGTTTATCTACTGCAGGTATTCCTCTGTTGCATCTACTATTTCATGATACAACAAGGAAAAAGGCCAGAGCCCGCAGGAATACTTCTTTGAAAGAGTACAAAAAATCATAAGTACTAGCCCTGACATACAACAGCCCTGCGTGCTAGCTAAGGTAAAAAAAAAAAAAAAAAGACACTTATTGGCTATGCTTTCTCAATCAGCCTTCTTTTGAGTCATCTCTCAGAAAACAAGATGAACATGCTGTCTGATCACCAGCCATTATTAAAAAAATCATAAACTGTTTCCAAGGCACTCAAGCAACACACAGGTTATGGAGATTCCAATAGGCTGATCTGAGTATAAGACACTGCTGCCAAAGTGTGAGACTGTTAGCGTGCTCCCCTACGTTTGCATGTAGGATGGGAAGCTTTGACAACCAAAGCAAATTTCAACCAGGATGATATGCTACAGATAGAGAAATATCTTGTGTTTCAGAGCTATCCAGACTGCATGAAGCAATTAGATGCCGGAGTCCCAGCGGATGGATGAAGTGCATATTACATACAAAATTATGTTTAAATGGGATTAGCCAAAAATCCTAGCAGATTTTAAAATTGATGTAATAAGATGTGTCTATGCTTCAATGCCAGGCAAGCATCAGGACATCTCTGTTGGCCAGCTATCCAACTCTTCATTTACATGTATGCATGAAACAGTGCAACAGATGAGAAGAGCTCAGGGATCAACAACAGGGGACTGAACCTCATGAAATTCTAGCCTACCCATGGTAAAAAGTCAGAATGAGCCTGCTGATTTTTAATGAGGGTAACTGTAGGGCTTTCAGTAAGCTCCCATTGTTGAGAGGCAGGCCAGGAGGACATACAGGCATTTAACATGACGAGGAAATAGAAGAGGGATTTTGCAATACTATTGTTACTAACAGGCCACATCAAAATTCAAATGATTCAGTATTAAAGGAGGATGTGAGCAACAGATGTCTCAAGCGGGACACCCCCAAGGGCGTCAGAGGTCAAAGAAACTAATGGATAAAGATCTAACCAAGAGGATTGCACTTTGGCTCTGCAATGCCACTCATTGGAAAACACTCCTCAGGGTCCAGCAGAGATTGAACTGATAGGATAAAGACAGATGGTTTCTCTTCCCATAGTATGTATTTTTCTATAGCCCAACAGAGAAAAGGCAGGTGTGACAAAAACTATCAAACTAGGCATGTAATTATAAGCAAGGAGCCAATGACTGGAGACTTCTGGGCACAAATTCACAGTTCTTGCTATCAATCACAAAAACCAGAGGCAAAAGTATCATCTTCAGTAAATTACAGGTCATAGGAAGTAGACCAGAGAGAAACTTAAACAATCATGAAGTAGTTGCAAACAGCCAGAGGAAAAGTGCCAGGACTCAAAGACAGCCTTAGCAATCTTCTCACCTGTAGCAGAAGACTTAAAAAATAAGATAGGACAAAGGAATAAGGAGGACAGGACAAGACAAAGGACTACAGAGTCAAATTAAGACCTCTATACCAGTGGCAGCAACACAAAGAAGGAATGGGAAATGGGGCTGACCACTAGCTGGTGGGATGCAAAGATCTGGCAAGAAAAGCCTTCGTCCTATGGACAGGCACATATTACTTAACAGCTGGTCTTAAGTAGTCATTAGCACAAAGGACAAAAGATCATAAATTGCTATAAAGAAACATCTAGAAGCTGCACAGAACATGGAGAGAAAAATCCAGGTTTGGAGAAAGCACCATGAAAGCCATTCTGCATGCCAAAATGCTAGTGATGATTGTGGCACCTCTGTAAGCAAGTCTTCTAAGGAAGCAAGAAAACAAAAAAAGCCTACCTTGTTTCAGAAAATGGAAAAAAAAATCCCATCTGGACTCTGGCCACATTAACACTAAATATGGACACATGGAGGGCCAAGATTACAACTTGGCAATAAAACCTAGGTCCTTCATGAACTTTAAGAGGAAATTAGGTTAATAAAAATTAATACAAATATAGTTTCTAATATTCCAGTTTGCATGTAGAGTTCCATCTTTCATACCAAATATTTAATCATGTTAATATTTTTAATGTTGAGATTTTTGCTTCGACAATTCAAAGCGTTGAGTCAGAGTTTGCTGTCACAAGTATGGTCAAGCAGACTGTTCATATCTCCTTCCTGACTGGATTAACTCTTACCATTGAGCTGTTCAAGATTAAAAACTGCTTTTAAAAATGCGTTAACATTTGCCTTGTTGGTGAGCATGCCTGAAAATCCAGTGTAAGGACTATGGCAAACAAACCAAGCCAAGAGTTAAAGTATAAGAACAATTTAAATTGGTTTTAAATCTTTCTAATACATATCTGCACAGGCACGGTTTTAAATTCTGGACTACTAAAACAGTCATTCAAGAAAATTAATCACTCTAAGTAGCAATGACGAACTCTTACAGAAATTCTAACAGAACTTTTGCAGGGTTCACTTACAGAACTCATTCTTCTAAGAACTAGGAAACAAGATCTAGCTGTATGAATAAATAACATAAAAGGAAAAGCTCCCCTCAAGCTCAGAGAACAGCTGCAACATTTTTCTTCATCTGCCTTTCCCTGCAGCTCTGCTCCCTAAGCCACACTGCCTCAGTGAACAACTAACAATAGAAATGATAAACTGTTAGCATTCAGCCTAAGACATATTAATCCTTTAAAAACCTTATTCAAGATTTTACAGAAATTTAAAAATACTTTATTTTGTAGTGCACTATTTGGATGAAAAAAAAAGACAAAAAATAGCCTTAAATGAAACAATGCCATTTAATGTTTATTTGCTGAGGGGGACATTGCATAGGGAGGTCTTTAGCAGGTCTTGTATACAACTGCTGCTCTTCATCTGGTACTTCTTTTTCTCCTCCATTTACTGTCCACCTAGGTATTAAGTCCTTCATTCTACATATTACAGCTGCAATTGTAAATTAAGCATTAATTTTCTATTCTACATAAGTATGTACTAAAATATTTTTACAACGGACAAAGACAAGTTGTGGATTATTTAGTGAGGTTCTACTCTTACCAAAAGACTACACTGAGTGAAAGCAGTGGAAATATTTTGTCATGGAAATGTTATGCCAATGCTCACTACACCTTTTGAAGTCAGGCTGACTTTCTCCTAAATTATAAAAATGATAATTGAAAAAAAGATAAGCTTGGAAGGAAGTCTTACAATGAAACAGTGATGCAGAAAAATGCTTAAAAAAAACCCTAGGCTCTGCTGACTATCAGGACCACACGCTTGAGGTTAGGAAGGTGATTAAGTGCTTTGCTAAATATAGTCTTAAAATATGCCTTCAGAATCTATTCGTAATTAAGAAAGCTTGATTGTTTATGATGTCTATTACTCTCTACTCCTAGTGGAAATGCAGAGTGCTTGCTATATTGTATATTATTATAATCACAATACTTAGCATATTGTGTATTATTATAATCACAATATAAATGCCTAAAACTAACCTAGGTTCCTTTCTCCTTCTCTGGAGGACATTGATTTTAAATCTGTCCTTCACTTTATGCCACTCAGAATTGCAATTTTCTGTTAAACAATGAAAACTTCCAATATTTAAGAAACCACTTTATAAAGGATAGTATCAGTCTTCAGACAGTGTGAGGCAGGATATACATAATTCAGGCATACAACAAAGTCAATAGATACAAAGACCTCGTAATAATACACAGCTCTGCCCTGTCTCTAACACTTATCAATACAACTAATAGGGGATAGGAAGCCTGAACAAAATTCTGCATCAACTAGGCAATAAACATGTTATTTTTATTAAACGAAAATATATAATTGTCCATTCCAATTTCACACTGTTGAAAAATAAAAGCTGTATAAAATACTACTGTGAGACGTTACACATACTTAAAAGGAACATGATTCAAGTAAGGATAGACACTAGAAAATTCGTTTTCTGAAATTCACACAGAAGCGTGAGCTAAACTGGAACTGGTGTGAACAAACAAATGAACTAAACTAGATTAATTAATGTGAAATAATCCAAATAAAAGTGTAAACTTTGTTACACTTGTAATGAAGGGGGTAATTTGTTAGATCTTAAATAGAAAAAATAAAAATAAAGAGAAAAAATAAAAAGGAGTCTGAGAAACTATTATTTTATTTATATACTTAAAATCATTGAAAACTGTCATGACACAGCATTGTAAAGTTGGCAGTAATTAAAAAAAAACATTTGGCGATATAATGAATTCACTAGAGTTCTATTTATAAAGAAATATTTTTCACTTAAATCACAAAGCTAAATACCTGACAGAGAGGAGTTCTTTGCACAATATAATTCATTCCTTATTACAAAATTCAGATGTGGGATTACAATCCAGTGTAATATAACAATCCCTTTTTACACTGCAGCAAGTTTATGAACTGAAGTAATTTTTGCTTTCAAATTTTGATCCACTAGCCAAAATAAAGAAATAAATGCTGCACTTTTTTTCAAATGCTCTAAAATGATTCTTTAAATCAAATTTTTCAAATTTTACGTTTTTTCCACTCTGGCTTGTCCGTTTCATCATCTTCTGGTTCCACTTCTGCAAAAACTGTTTTTGGCTGTGTTCTAGAAAACATTAAAAAGATTAAAATAATGGTCAGGCTACAATTCTTTACCAGAAACTATATCAGACCTGCACTAGACACAATGACATCTTTTCTAAACTTCAAAAAAGAACGTCCTAGACTTGCCATTTTTTCATTTTCAACATAAACCTATCAACTAACCTTCTAAGAACTGAAGAAACTTGCAGCTCTCAGGCAAAGAACAAACATAAGAAACACACACTTTTGCACATATTATTTCCTTATCAGCTCGCAATCATTAGCTGTGTATTCCATGAATAAAATTAAGACAGAAGAGAGGAACAAATCAATTTAATACAGTGCTAGAAAAATGGAGCCACGAGTCTTCTCATTCCATGACTGTAAAAAAAGAAACCTCCGTTTTGATACACTACAGTATGACAGCAGCCAGTAAGTGAAAACAGAACAGCTAAGCCAGGTTTCTGGCTTAGCCTATGCATAAAAAAACCAGCTTCTACTCCAGAGACTTTATCCAGCGCCTCCGTAACATAAAAAACCTAATGTTCTTCATATGAGAACACAGCGTACCCTACAGTCAAGCCTGATGGTATCTATTCCTCCACTGTTTACTTGTATTTTAAATAACACTTAAACTTTACAAAAATAATTATTGATTACTTTTTAAATGAACACACAGTATCAAGTAGCATTTCAATAAACTGTTTGGACATTCAGTTCCCCTGTTTTACACTTTAATCACTGCATGGTCTCCTTTTCCAACCTAATTCTCAGCACAATGCTGTGGAGCTAAAACTACTAGTTTTCTGATGATGGCTATGCTCAACTTCTCATTACAACAGACACGACAAAGTATAAAATGCAGCCAAGGCAGTCATCACCTCATTAATGTATTAACAAATGTTTTTACAGCAGTTTAAGGATGTGAAGCATCATTACTATAACAACTGTTATTTGGCAGACTCTACAAAATGCATGAACCTTAACAAAATTGCATCTGCCTTACTTAGCACAATAGGCATAATTCAATGTTGCCATTGGCTTTGAAAAGTAATAGCAAGCCATCACCTATTAAAGAGCAGGATTCTCCACTTGTTAAATATGTGGCACAAAATAGATTTAAAGTCACCAAAACTAGTCAAAGACAGCTCCCTTTATACAGGATCTTTCTATCGGCCTGCCTTCTCCCTCCATCCTCCAAACTTGCCATGGAGGTAAGAAGTATACACCAAGATGTTCCAGAGATGGCCCTACTGGAGGGCTCTATTGCCACATGGTCCCTGGGTGCAGGCTGTATGTCTCATTACATCTAAGCAGACTTTGTACCCAGATGAGGACCTACACTACCGGAAGTTAGATGAGTCATTCTGTTCTACATGGAAAGCAGACTAAGATTAAAAAAAAAATTTCCAATTTAAAAAGTTCATTAGAAAATAGTTACATAAACTCTACTTAACCAATCACTTAAAAATTTAGGATTTAAAAAGAAAAAAAAAGAATCAATATTCAATCCAAAACAGAAACCAGGGATGAAGGCTTTATTGGCCAAAATATTGGATTTTGTTAGCTGCTGAAGAGATGGAATGTATGGAATCATCTTCTCTTTTTTCCCCAAACATATTGATGGAAGTTTATTTAGCCTTTTTTAACAGTGTACCTTCCTTTAATCACAACAGACAAAAGGTATCTAAATACCATACAGGATCACATTAGGTCAGTATTGAGGCGCTTGTTAGTAAAGTGCAACCAATCAAGGGTAAACCTATCACTTCTGACCACAAAACCTGCCACTGTCATAATTTTGGTTAGAAACTTCGAACCAGGAAGAATTATTTAATTTGTGAAACAAGCAGTGGAACCTATGTATTTTCCAGGATAGGAGTGGCACAGAGAAAAGTTATAGACTTCAGATAATGTAAGTATGCTACTGAGTCCAGTAAAGCTGGCAGTGGGGTGGGGAGAGAAAAACAAAAAAAAGAAACTGTAGCATAATCTAGCAGTAACCAGCTAAAGCAAAAACACACAGAGGAAATCAAGTCTGCTTGCTATCTCATTTTTTAAAATTAGCATGAAATGGCTGTAGCCTCAGCTCAGCTGAAATGTACACTGTTCCACCTCCACAAGCTACATGGCAGTAACTGGGGCACCTATGGTGATTCATATGCCTGACCATTTTAAGGACACAAGCATAGAAAACACTGCTTTTGTTATAGCATTATCAGCAGTGATCATTTAGTTTAAACAAAAATTGTTCTGCTTAGTAACTGCACTAGAGATTGCTAGTGTAGTAGGAGTTTGCTGCATGATTAATATTTATACAAAAATTATCAAAACAGGTTTACTACTTCAAAATATTTTTATTTCTGAGGGCTAAATAATACATGTGGAAAGCTGTGTTCTTTTTCCCCCCATCAACTTTCTCAATTTTATTTATCCTTGACTTTGGGGGTTGATTTCAGTTTGTCAGGAATCTGCCAAGCATGGGAGACTGCCATGGAGGGCAAAGGGGCCCAGGAGAGCTGGTTGACCTTTGGAGGCAACCTCCTCAAAACACATTCCATCCATGGGCAGAAGGTGAAGTCTGGCAGAAGCCTAGTATGGCAGGGCAGGGATCTCCTGACTGAGATAAACCCCAAACCCCCAAAAGGAAGAACAGAGACAGAGGAAGCAGGGATAAGCCAAGAGGAACAGAGGCATTACATGAACATGTAGGAACAGAGTTAGGAAAGCCAAAGCTCAGCTGGAGTTGAGACTGGAAAGAAATGTGAAAGGCAACACTAAGGGCTTC